CACTGAAGTCCTCAAGTCAGCGAAGGTCATCAGCATCGAGGCCATGGTCCTCAAGACACAGCTTCGTTGGGCAGGGCACATCGCCAGGATGGAGAACCACCGCTTGCCTAAGATTGTGGTGTATGGGGAACTGTCCTCTGGCCATCGCGACATAGGGGCACCACGAAAGCGATACAAAGACTCCCTGAAGAAGTCCCTCACTGCTTGCTGCATCGATCACCGTCAGTGGGCAACACAAGCAGCTGATCGCAACTCCTGGCGGCACACAGTCCACCAGGCCACCTCCTTCTTCGAAGATACCCGCAGGGCCCGTATGGAGGACAAAAGGAGAAGGAGGAAAAACCGTGATCCCTCAGCACCCATCCCAGATGAGACCTATACTTGCAGCTGTTGTGGCAGGACCGGCTTGTCCCGCATAGGCCTCTTCAGCCACCAGCGTGCCTGCAGAAGACATGGATGTCCTTCCTAGATCTTCGTTCGCGAAGCCAAGCCATGATGATGATGACAGGATGTCACAGGCAATCCGTTATTGATTACAAGCAGACGTCACTTCGCGCGACCCTGTAGAACACTGATTCGCGATGGCGCTCTTTGTCTTGGAGATTTTTTTTTACAAAAAAAGAAAATCTAAAAAGCAAAAAAGCACTTACGAGTGAGAAAATGTACCCGCCGCCGTCCTTGTTTACATTCGCTCAGCCAATGAGAGCGTCGTCCACTGGGCCAACCCATACCACACCCCCACGATTTGATTATCACGATTTGTGGTCACGATGAGATAAAAAAATATTTACAGTGTATGTCTTCTTGGTTCTTTCGGTAAAGTCACGTAGAAGGGAAGTAATAAAATAATACAAATAAAACATAATAAAATGAAATAATTCTCACGACGTTTCGGCTACAACGCAAGCAGCCGTCTTCAGGTGAAGAATGAGACACTGCAAAGCTAGGAGCTTATATATAAGCTGGGTTGGAGGTGGAAGAAGAGCGCCTTAACAAAAAGAATGTGCATATCAAGAGGAATTTAGCATATTCATGGCAAATGCGTAGGAGGCGGGCGGGGGGGTTTCAAAGTCATATTATGCCCATGCATTATGCAGGATCAGCCAAAGGAGGGTGCAGGGAGTAGCATTAACAAAGGAAAGGAATGTTAATAGTATGTAGCTGCAGTTACTAAACAACCACGTAGAAAACTAAAGTATAAACTACATAAAAAACTAAAGTGTAAACTGCATAGCATCATCAGTATACTTACTATACTCTACAATAAGCTGAGTTACTAACAGCAAGTAATACATTACAATTCTACGTCGTAAAAATTATATAATATGCTTCCATCTAAACTTTATTTTCTTACATCACACGAGCATACACCGTACTATATACTGCCATAGATAAACCCAACATTAAATTATATACTGTATTGCTATAAACCACCCTATACCTTATACATTTTAATATAACACTATGTATTATTCTACCCACCCTAATGTGTATCACACTGCTATATGTTTACTATACAATTACGATACTATATATTACTTTGTACATTGTATTAAGCATATAAATGTTATACTATTTGTTATTATACACTGTACCATTGACCGTCGTGTCAATGGGTGAGTCGTGGGGGGAAAACTTGCAGCGGAGCAAAGAATCCATTCCCTGCGGAGAATACAATGCCAGTGAGTGGAACGCGGTCTGAAAGTCACCGTAAACGTGAACACAATCAGTTAAGATCCGAAATGGTTTATTACGTCCTTCCAATGATTGCTAAGCCAGAATCCATCTTCTCGGTTGAAATTGTCTCTGTGTTTGTATATGTGGATCGCCTCATGAACGAATCTCTCATGATAGCCAGATGGCTTGCAGAGAACCTCTGTCTTGGAGAAGTCAATATCATGTGAGCCCACTGAGTTGTAACAGTGATCTGCCACGGCTGAGGTGTTTGTCCTACCGTGTTTCAGGTCTGCTTTATGTTCACGGATGCGGTCCGAGACATGTCGTTTGGTTTCCCCAATGTAACTGCTACCACAGAGGCAACTTAGTTTGTAGACGCCAGGGTGCTGTATGTCTGGAACCACATCTTTTACAGACGGGACCAGATCACGGATTTTATGTACTGTGTTGAATCGGACCTGGATCTTGTGTTTAATCAGGATTTTGGAGATCTTTTTTGTGACCCCAGCAATGTAGGGATGGTCTTGAAAGGCTCCTCAACAGGATCTTTCTTGATGGTTGGAGTGATGGCTTTGCGGATTGTGTAGTCGGAGTAACCATTAGCCTTAAGATCTTGGCGTACGTGTTTGAGTTCACTGGCAATGTGTTCCTGGTCGGAGATGCATTAGGCTCTATGGTATAAAGTCTTGATGAGGGAATTTTTCTGGGATGGATGGTGGTGGGAATCCGGTTTTAGGTAAGCATTCGTATGGGTGGCTTTCCTGTAGACAGAGTGGCTCATTGAATTAGGACATCCAAAAAGGGTAGCTTGCCATCTTTTTCGACTTCCATGGTGAATCTGATGGCTCGGTGTATGTAATTGATGTGGTCGAGAAATTGGTCTAGAGCAGGCCGGCCATGTGGCCAGATGACAAAAGTGTCGTCTACGTACCTCTTCCATAAGGTCGGGCGTAGAGTGGCAGTCTGGATGGCGTCAGTCTCAAATTTCTCCATGAAGATGTTGGCTACAACCGGAGATAGGGGGGAGCCCATTGGGGTGCCCTCAGTTTGCTTGTAGAAAGTTCCATTCCAGGTGAAGTATGTATTGGTTAAGCAGTGTTTCACCAGGGGGGGTACCCCAGCATTCAGTTCTTGATGAACCAAGTCTTCAAAGATTGCGATGGTGTCAGGTACAGGAACCTTGGTGAATAAGCAGGTCGTCTGGGGACAGGGCAATCCCCTTGATTGTCGATACCAGGTCAGTAGAGTTTAGTACCGCAGAGGTGGTTTTTCCAGTGAAAGGCCGTAGGATTTCAGACAAAAAACGAGCCAATTTATAGGTGGGGGAGTTGATAGTAGAGACAATGGGACGAAGAGGTGTATGTTCTTTATGTATCTTTGGCAAGCCGTATAATCTTGGTGGCCTGGCTGCAGAAGGTTTCAACGAGAACTGTTTGGTCTGATCAATTAATGCGGTTGAATCAGAAATGATTTGCTTGGTTTTTGAGACGAGGCTGTTGGTGGGGTCTCTTTTTATTTTTGTATAGCTGCCATCGTTGAGTAGTTCTTGGATTTTGTTGTTGTATTCTGTTTTGTCCATGATGACAGTGGCATTGCCTTTGTCGGCTGAGAGGATGACAATGTCATCCCTCTTTTTTAATTGAGCTAATTCAAAACGCTCATCTTTGCTGATGTTGCTAGCTGGCATCTTAGCGTTTTTGAGGGTTGCAGATATTTCAGATCTTGCTACGTCTGCAGCGATGTGACTCAGGCCCTTGAGAGCTACATCTACTCGAGCAATTATATCATTAACTGGTATGTGTCTAGGTGTGACTGCAAAGTTTAGTCCTTTAGCTAAAACGGATTTCAGACCTTCAGAATTAGAACTGTTACTGCGATTAATTACGACTTTGTTAACATCTAGCTTTTCAATGTGTGGGTCCGGTTTCTTGTTTGAGAGGCGGTTGAATTTGGAAATCAAGTTGTCCTTACATTTAGTCGACATAGTGGCAGCTGAAGAGGCAGTCATTTTTTTTACATGTTCCCAATCCGATGTGGACATTGTTGCACTCAAAGATAAGTGTGATTTGTGGAGTGTCTTGTCTAACTGATCTAGTTCGGTGCGCGTAAGTCTGATTTTCTCTGAGATAAGAGCTAAGCTAGTTCTAGACAGAATTCGTTTCGCATTAGAAGAAGTTACAGCAGCAGATGTTAGTGTAAATGCGTTTGGTATTACCTTAGAGTCGCGGCATCTCTTCAGAAAGGTGAGAGACTCGATTAGCTGAGCCTTCTTATCCCGGAGCTTGTTGAAGGATCTCAAAGTTATGTGGAAACCCTCCCCGTAGAGGCGGTTAAATTTCGATTTAAAGCTTTCGTGACTGCAGGGATTCATCTTTTTGGTGTATGTTTTATTATAGGATCGGGGATAATAGGAGTTTTCACGGACCCTACAGTTGCGGAAAAAAGGGCAGCGGAAAAGACGATTTCTGGACAGTACTTTGTTTCTACTTGCATTAATATACCGTTCTACGATCTTGTGTAGAGTCTCCTAAAATATTATTGATTTTTAAATGACTATATTAATTGCAGAGGATAGTGACACTTGCAAATTGTATACAAAATATATGGTCATGTTGCAAATTCATATATATACTAGCTTATATAACCGGCTTTGCCCGGGCCAACAAAACCCACACCACACCCCCACGACAAATTAATCTCGACAGAAATCAATATCAATGCCCGAAACAAAAGGTATAAATGTTGCCATTATTTTTCCGGATGAACCTGCGTTTGCATTACAGCCACCGCGGACCACCTGGAGGATCGTCACAGACCACCGGTGGTCCGGGAAGCACACGAAGAGAACCACTGCCGTATCACAATAGGAACCGTTATATATGTGTGTGGTGTTCTGAGAAGTGCCAGTATGGCATACCATCGTATACCGGCACATTTTGACCACTGCACACCACAGTACAGTAGTGAAATGCCCTGTCATAGACAAGAGCTCCGCAATTTACTTTCTAAACTTCACTCTTGAGGTTTTTGACTAGAAAAAAAATGCCCTTCATTTGAAACAAGTGCAATTTACTTGCGTGAAACCCACTTGTTTAACCAGGCGATATGTCATTCCCCTTGTGCCATGGTTGGGCGGCCACGCTCATACCCGATGCTTTGGCGTACGTAAGCGAATAGCGTGCAGGTGCCGTGCGCAGGGACCGGGTTATGTTCGCCCTTGTGAATGTTTAATGCACCGTGAGCCTTATTGTATTACATTGGGCGTATACAAACCGTGACTCACCGGGGCCCCTGTGCCTTGTGTGTGTGTGCGTCCTCTCCAAGTGGCGTCTGCGGAGTGAGTTCTTGCTGTGAGCGTGCTGCTGGCCTGGCCTGCTCTTCTGTGGGACTCCTCTGCGACCAGGTGCGTCGCATCCTTCCTGCGCCAGGGCTTGTTTATTAGTTTAGTTCTGTAAAACCTGCTGTCGGTACTTTAGCAGCTTCGTATTTGTCACGTGCTCCACTGTGTGTGTTCATGCCTTTATTAAAATGGTGGTTAGAATAGTTCTTATGCATTCTTGGTAACCGAATGAACAAAAAAAACCTGGTAAAAACCGGTTACCGTATAGAGATGTCCAGAGCAATAAACTTAAAGTGTTACCAGTTTAACTGAGAAACAAAGGGAGCTGTCACAGTGGTGTAAAGGGTAGCACACTGGACCAGAGGTTGCCGATTTTATTCCATCTCCCGGCACGGTAGTTGAAACAAATGGTGCTTCAAGTTCCTTAAATCTCAGTATACCCAGTGGCAAGGCATGGCTACACCACAATCGATCGAAATTGGCAGATAGCTTGTGGTGAGGTAAAGTGGGGGTTCTCCCACGTAATTCTTCAACGACGTTTGGCCGGAGCAGAAGGATAGACCAAATATCTTCCAGAGCAGTGGTTCTCAACCAGGGGTACGCAGACCCCCGGGGGGGGGGGGACGTGGCAATGTCCCAAGAGGTACGTGAGGTGATTCATAAATGTGTGAAATTATATCATACACGAGAGTCATTAGTGAATAATCACATATAAATCTGCCAATATAAAATAACGATACATTTTAAATCCATATGGTAACATTGAACGATATAAAGACCTTAATAAACTCATGGATCGTAAACAATTCGGGTTTCCAAGAGTAACCAGCAAGCGTGACCAAATTACGTTATGCGTGCAGGGCGTCCGTTTAATTTTATTTATTCGCTTGCAGTTACTCGCTTGTTAGGGTACCTCACAAAATGGACAATTGGTTAAATATTAATGTTCATTATTCATACATTTATTCCTCAGTGCCATGTTGGGTCAGGCAAGGGGTTGTACTCGGTTGAAATAAATTTAAACAAGGGAGATAGGGTATAGCCGCCAACAAAAGATTGAGAAACCGCTGCTCCAGAGCTCCATGTGTGAGAAGGCGATGGCAAGGTGGTAACGCTACACTTACTGCTGCACTGCAATTTATTATCGCTGCACTTTATTAGCTTTTCTTTGTAATTTCGGTATCCTCTGGTCATTCTTGCAAATCCGTATATCCCTGGTCTGTCGAGATCTTACCACCTGGTGACACAAATACACTTGAATTGGGATTGACTCCTGTATTGAAAAAATGAGGGCTAAATGTAGCACGTAGTGAATTCGACCGCCGTCAGGTTTGTGTGTTCGCACCTACCAATCGGTGCACTCATCACTCACATACCGGTTTACTGGTCGTCGTTTAACTAATCATAATTTTTACCCATTGCATGATAATGTAACACTGTTTATTTTACCCTCGACACCAAAAAACGTGTGATACCTCCGTTGTCTATGTTGTGTGCACGTAGTACGACGTATCCCACGCTGTGCCGGGGCTTGCGAGGCACCGCCACTTGGTGCAATTCTACCGTTACACCGAGCCCACAGTCATGCCGAGGCACAAGCGCCTTGCCATAAACGAGAGTGACGGTAAGCTGTGCTGCTGCTGGGCTGTTTTCGACATTGGCACTGGGACACTGCTGGGGCGGGCATCCAACCACCAAATGTCCATTTTGGCCCAGCCAGATTCACTAACCTTGGTGGCGAATCATCGTTATGGTGGCCCACCCAGTAGCCTAATGTTGCACACTCGAAATAAAGGACGTTGGGCAGGTGCTCCAAATCGAGGGCAAACACATTTATTGTGGTTAATCTGTAGAATACAACAGCACGTGTCACACACAGCAATCTTCACCGAGTCGCCATTAACCACGTGACTGGTGTACACGTCCGGTTACTCATTAACAGTTTTCTCTTAAATCCACTTCTACTACTGATAAACCATCTTTGTCTTTGACAATAACATTTGCACTTTACTATTCGAATATTACTTTAATCCTAAGCTGTATGTCTATCTATACCATCCACTTACACCCATTATCTGTACTGTATGTGTACAGTATACGTACTGTATTTGTCATCATTGTACAACTTACTACTTTACATGTATTCGATTCTCAATAGCATTGCAAGTAGTCATACTCTGGGTGCATGGGCATGGTTATTGAATGAACAGTATTAGGGCTAGAGAATTAAGAATTAAAAGTATAACTGCAGTACGTCATCCTTTACAATGCAGTGCTACAACCCCTCCAATTTAATATATCACAAACTAACAAATCAAAGCCAAGCTTGAAGTCTAGAACAAGTCTAGAACATTTATATAATGATCAAAAACAACCTTTGGGTCCTTTATCTGTAAAATACAACAGCACGTGTGTCACACACAGCAATCTTCACCGAGTCACCATTAACCATGTGACTGGTGTACACGTCCGGTTAATTATTAACCCTGCCAGCCCCACCACAGGCCCAACCCAGTCATCACATGCTGGTGTACACACGTGCATTGTTGTACTGCACAGTACATAAGGACTTATTAAAATGAGTGGTCCATTCCTAATGTGCCCCACTAATCCTCGAGGAGCTGGAGCTGGGCAAGAGTCCTGGTGTGAAACCGATTCACCCTGCAGTCCATTTTCACTGCCGTTTCCCCTCATCGTAATACAATACAGTCGTGTTCTCCTATAACGCGGTAGTAGTTGCGTTCCTAAAGAACACCGCGTTTTGGAAAAATCGCGTTATAATGAATTATATAGGGTAAGGCACAGTTCGCGATAACACATGCGATATGTACGCATGCTGAACAAAAACTGAGGTGCGTGGGTAGCATCTAGCAGCATCCAACAGCACCCCGCCTTGTGTGATGCAATGCCGAGGCAGCCTTACAACTGCTTATTCCTACTCGCAATTCTGTTCTGTACGTGACTCATAATCACAGCCATGTATGTTAGAGCCAAATCCGAATACAAACTCTTACACATTCTGAGAGCATTCGATACGTGATCGTGTGATGCTAAGCTGTCAAATGAGTGTCACACGATATATTTGGTGATGCTGTGTTGGCAAGGGGCGCACAAAGTACATTTAACAAAATAAAACATTTGTCAATAACGCCGTGGCCTTAAAAGGAAATGTGTGTATATATATAAAAAACAGGTGACGTTTCATGCAATAGCCCTTCTTCATAGCACATGAATAGAGAGATAGAGTGGATAATGATAAGAGTTGGAGGCTGCACTTTACACAATTGAGCTTTGAGAATAATTACATATTTAAAATGTTTTTAAACTGGCATATGAATCAGTTTAACACGTAGGCTTTCGCGACAAATTTTATTCATAAAAACGTTTTTTGGTTAGATCGCGTTATTTATAAATGTGTCGTAACCAAAAAAAAAGTGTCACGTTGACAAAAGACAAATAGTTCACTACTTTAGCCCACCGGTGTGTTGAAGAGTGAAACAACAACATTTAAAAATTTTGAGTACGACATTTCGCTGTTAATAGCATCCAGCATCATCGGGCAATTCGCCAGAATGGTGAGGCTCTGCTCTTGCTCCCGGTCTTAAATAGAGCAGCAGCAGGGTGACGTCATCATTTAATTCATCAGGTGCTACGATTTGAGGCAGGGGGGGGGGGGTATTGTAATTATATACTAGATTGGTAATCAGGCAATTGTTACATGTGAGTTGTAGATTAGTAATTAGTTGTAATGTGTGTTATTGTAATTATATGCTACGTTAGTAATCAGTTAATTAGTATGTGTTTCCCCTATAAGGAATTGTAATATGTATTGTTTAATAATATGCTTCCAGGCCGCACTAAGCCTGTAGCTGTCTGAGCGATTAAAGTTATTTCTGTTTTTCTCAATTTCAATGGATTCTCTAATTAGTCTTTGCCAGTAGTAATTAATTTTACACAACACTTCAACGTTATCAAAATCAATTGAGTGTCCCTGTTGGCAAGCATGTTCTGCCACTGCCGACAGTTGTGTTTGAGGTAATTTAATATTTCTTTGGTGTTCTTTTAGTCTTACACTGATGTTACGCCCCGTATGTCCAATATAGCATGTGGCAGAAGCTATATTGGGCAGACGGGGCGTAACATCAGTGTGTAATAAATCCGCTCCAGACTAGACCGTGTCTTTTGTCTTTTGTTTATTCGTTCCTCATTCACAGCTCCCTCACATGCTGGGTTCCTCTTTTCCCTGTAACTCCGTTCCCCGAGCTGCCTCGCTTCCCCACACCGCTGGTTGACGGTGTGTGTCGGAGACAGCCTCCGGCCCGCCACGTGGTCACTGGCGTGCCAGTGACACAGACGTGGTTCCTCCTCAGCCCCTCTCCACACTGACCCGGAGCTGTCTCTCTCCACCCCTTTTAACACCTGGCCCACGTGATACCATGCAGCCAATCATCAGCCTCGCCCCCTGGAACCTTCCAGATGTTGCCATGCAGCTACAGGCTACGCCCCTGGCTCGGGCTGAGGCCAACAGAGCCTATTATTATGGCCCAGTTACCCCCCAGGTGCATCTCTTCATATTACATCACCCCCCCCCCCCCCCCGGTGTGAAAAGTCAGCCACCTCGGCTGGGAAAATGGTGATGCACCGTAACGACCCACCGAGATGTGTAAACCCACGAATGAGCATTTAGGGCGCCAACAATGCACGACTGAAGATAAGGAACGCCAACACGAATGAACATTAGTGCGCCGAACAATGCTTGACTTAAGATAAAGAACACCAAAAACGGCATCGGAAGGGAAGGCGCAACACAACAATCAACTTTTAACGGAATGGAAGTGATTTAGAGCGCGTGCGCGATGCCGGTCCGTCTCCCCCCGTGGAACGTGGTCGTCTTGCTGACTGCCCAGCAGAAGGGGGCAGCGGTGCCAGAACAGGCCCAGCATCCTTCGTGGAAGGAACAGGTCCAGCAGGAGGCCGCTCGTCAGGGGGCGCGGTGTCCTTTAAAGCCTGTGTGTCTGTGGGGAGCAGAACAGGTCCCCCCTGGGGATCAATCGGCAAGCCAGGTAGCATGTCGGGCACATCAGACCCCGGCAGGTCAGCAAGTGGGGATGAAGGGCCAGTGCGTGGTGCGAAATAAGGTTTCAGCCGCGACGAGTGTACATACCAGCGACGCAACCCCGACTGGATGCGAACACATTGGGGATTGTGAACTTCTATCAATTTAACGGGCCCTTCCCAAGGCCTGTGCAGTTAAGGGGATGTACCCACAGGCACCTGCGGAGCCAAGCCGCGTCGCCCACCACCCATGGCATGTCGCGTCGCGACCGACGAGCATATCGCTCGTTCCAGGCCTGTGTCCGGGCCGTAGCTAGCCTGGCGGCCTCCCGTGCCTCCGTGACATGACAAAGCGACTCGCGGACGTGTTCAGGCAAGGACAGGGGAGGTTCCTTCGCGGGCGTAGCCAGTTGCACTTCATTGGGAGGCACGTTCTCCCGCCCGTACATAAGGAAAAATGGCGAGTATCCCGTAGAAGCGTGCGAGACCATGCAGTAGTCAGACAGAAAGCCAGGTATGTGCAAGTCCCAGTCGGTCTGCTTTGCACTCACCGTGTGACAAAGCATGGCCGACAGGGTATGGTTAAACCGTTCCACCATACCATCCGTCTGCGGGTGGTAAGGGGAAGTGTGAATCTTCTTTGTGCCCAAAGCTGCGCATACATCCTGGAGCAATTTAGAGGAGAAGTTACGGCCCTGGTCCGTGAGTAACCTTTCCGGAGCCCCTTTGTCCATCACGTAGCCATTCAGGAATGCTTCGGTGATGGAGGAAGCCAATTGGTCGGGCAGGGGCCAGGCCATCGGCCAGCGAGAAAAATATTCAACCCCGACCAAGAGGAATTTGCTACCCCTCGCTGAAGGAGGGAATGGCCCAAGGATATCCAGAGCAACTAGCCATTAATCCGCGACACTTCGATCGATTTCAAGGGCGGAATATATTTCTCACGCGGCGGTTTCCGCCTCGCACATTCCTGGCATGCCTGGATAGCCTTGATGACATCCGCCGTCATACCGGGCCAAAATAAATCCCGCTGCATCGTGAGCAAGGTTTTCTGCACACCGAGATGCATCAACTTGTCGGCATGCAGCGTGCGGATAAGATCACAACGGAGTGATGTCGGTACCACAAGCAGCGAACGGCCCAACAAGCCATCTCTGCACATAAGCAACCCATCCTGGTTGGTAATCAGCTGCGAATTCCCGCAGGACGAATGAGATCCCGACCCTATGGCCCGATCTCGCAGAGGAGCAAACGAGGTGTCGGCCATCTGCTCACGCTGCCACACCGAGCGTGGCAGATGCAGCGTGCTGTCGGCCCCAACCGGCGCGGCCTGCCCGTCAACCTTCGGCACCGCACTCATAACAGGGCGGGGCGGGGAGGGCGGTGCTGCGCAGCGATGCGTGCCCATCGAACAGGCACAAGGAGGACCCAGAGGCAACCTGGAAAGTGCGCCTGCATTCCCATGGCAGGTACCCTTATGGTAGGTTATGTCAAAAGAAAATTCCTGCAACAACTCCAACCATCGTGACAGCTGTCCAGACGGTTGTTTCAATTTCAACGAGTATTGCA